CCTTCCACTTAAGAATTAAAATGAACTCATTTGACAATTGAGCTTTAATACAATCTAATATAATACTGTATGTAGAGAGAGAAAGACAAATGTTGATGTGCAAGACCCAGTTGCGGGCCGTGCATTTTATACCTGGGCCTTCTGTGCTGTCCTACTACACTTGAACCATCTCCTAATAATCTCATTATGACGCGCAAGCTACGGTTATTTGTTTCTAGGGGTGTAACAATACACGTATTCATATTAAACCGTTCGGTACAAGGCTTACGAACCGAACAATACGTTTGAATAATACTAGTGCATTTGGAAAATGCAGAAGCTTAAATTGTGGGAAATATTATGTTTTCGGTGGACTGCGCTCACATCGGAGACACCGCACGTGTCTTCAGGGAGGCTAAGCTAAACTAGCTTAGCGGGGAAACAACAGAACACAGCACACAATCTACAAACTCTCCCCACAGCATTTAGCTGTTCCTTACTGATTCAAACATGGCTAAAGCAATCGCCACATAATCCCCATTTCTCCAGACCATCATACTTGCTTTGTAAAAGAAAACAACAGCCCGAACGGATTCAATTGTCTGAACCTAACCCCACGATGATGGGATGCTTCGTCATTAACGGACAAGTCAGAATCAATGTAATTAACATAATGACAAGAACAAACTCACAAGAACCAGTCACATATATTTATATGACAACAAAGCAACAAATCAATCCAGCAACACTGCAGTGCTAGAGCACGAGCATAAAAACGACACGATAGACAAATGAACACAGTAGTAGCGCTACTGCAGATGTAAAAAAACAAAAGCAGTTCACTTACCAAAGCTGCCTTCACTTAAAGACAAAGTCCATCCTCCTTTCTTTGTTAACAAAGTCAGTAACTCCTAAATCCATTTCTCCTCCTTCAGCCATTGAGTGTTAAAAAACACAGCTAGGTAAAAAGATAAAAATAATCTACACCAAGCAAAACGCCAAAAATGTCATAACCTCTCTTACATATGTTTCAACCTGAACACTAAGATCTGCTAGCTAGCTTTCTGTTTGACAAAAGTCACACTGGCCCACTGACCAATCACGGTGCACGTTAATGCTGACGTACTTAGCAGGCTACCTGAGTAGCACTGGCACGTCAAAGAATACGCCCAACATGTCAAACTAAAGATCTGATTGGTTGAAGACTATGACAATCAACAATATCGGCCCCCTTTACTTTAATCTGCAAAGTCTACCAAGAGGGCCTTGGGCCTCTCTTACATAGAGACGGAGGGGCTGAATCTGATTGGATAAGAGCTCTCCTTAAAACAAGCTGTGCTGGAAGCAGCGCTGCAGGCTGGAAGCAGAGCAACAGAGGAACACAGGAGCTGTGCAATGAAAAAATAAGATAATGGGAAAAAATTAGTGTATTTGTGAAAAATTATAAAATTATAAAATAGCTATAACTTTGTGATTCTGTTTAGGCCAGCAGAGAAGGCTTAGCTGGCCCTGACGGCCCACCACTGGTAAGACCCAGTCAGACTGTATAAAGGCTTTGCGTCTTGATGTTTGCATTTTGGTGATGAAAATTGGTAGAAAAGGACAGTGTACAGGTGAGGGGGGGAGGAGAGAGAGGGCAGAGTAAAGGGAGACAAGAGGAGACAAGCTTCCAGAAAAAACTTCCATACATAGGAAGTCTGGATCAAACTGGCCGAAAATTTCAAGGTTCAAGCCTTGATTTTGTCCTATACTTCACATTACATGCTACTTCATTACACTTAAAGAACAAATATTACTGGGCCCACTATGAAAAATTGCAGATGAACATTTAATATCCAGGAGTTCACACACAATAGACATTGTAACAATTTGGTCTCAATTTAGCACATTGACCACCCACTTTGTCTGAGGCCACTTAGGCTAGGTGCCAGAACTATATACACACACTCGAGAGGCAGTTAATGACATGCATTTGCAGCACATTAAAAGATGCAGTGTGCTTGCTGACACGTCTCCTCAAAAATCATTTTTAATTGAATGTATATGTAATCTATAACTTTATTTATTTTGTCTTTATTTAATTATGATAATGTATAAGTTAAAATGAATAACACAAACAACACACAATTAGTTGAATGCTGAAAGGCAGTTGTCCAAAACAAAATATTCCTACAACTGCAACAATGACTTTGAAAGATGAGAGCAAAGAATCCTGTCTTCTGACTCACATGCATGAAGAGCCAACCAAAGACAAAGGCACGCTTTAATACGTCTGCAACTTTATCTGTGCACATATCTTAAAGATTAAAGATTACTTCAAACAATCATCTGTGCAAACCCAAAACTAATGATGTAAAGGCATGACGGTTTGTTGTTATTTATACATTGTAGTATCAGTTTCATGTACTGATACTACAATGAACTAATAGTAAAAACAGAAAGAAACCGCAGTGTGTAGTAAACATTTGACAATAAGTGTATTGTCCATTGGAGGTTTGTTTTGTGACTTCACTCTATTGTTCTCCTCATCTGGGGAACATTGATTGTATTCATGGTCACCGGCTATTATACAATATTCTATACATACCGCTATGTCCAGTGCAAGTAGCAGTTTGAACTACCGTACCAATTAAGGACAAAGACTACAATCAGAGTATCGATGTCAAGTACCACAAGACAATAAAACACACACAACTATGACTGAGACAAGTATCCCACTAAATATCTGGCAGATCAGTAACAAGACAAACAAGATTTTACATGTTGATGCAGGTTTCCATTCAAACATTTGGGCAACCATGTATGCAACTTACCTCAACTGAGACTTTCAACCAGCCAAGATCTAATAGCAGACCAAATGGATCCTTTTAAACATGTTCATGTATAGATCCACCTTTTGTCTGTTTAAATCCACATCAAAACCCAAATCCAGCAGGGTCCAAAAGGCTGCCACTGCACCCAGCATAGCTGTCCTGGTGTCTCCTAACTTTCTTCAGATGGTCCTCTATCATCCAAAGCCCTTTGTTTGTCTCAGCCATATAGAGTAGGCCTACTGCTGCGTATTCAGCCACCACTGATCCCAGTGTCTGAGTTGTTTGTCTGAATGGCCACTAGACTTCCTTCAATTCTTTCCCAACATAGTTTTCCTGCCTGTGTTGGTTGGTTTCCCTGGACTGTGCTAAATATAGGGACCACACAAGGTAAAGTGGAAAAGAGCAGAGCAGGAAATGTATCACAATATGCTTGTGCGCACATTTCTGTTTGTTTCTGTGTGTCTTCCTGTCTGAAATCCCAACAACATTCACGATAACTTTGTAAGTCAAGTTTCCAGTGGACCACATACTTACATTTAAAAAAAATCTTTTTTGAGTGTCATTTTCTACATCTTCACGAGTAGGGTGGAGGAAATGCGTGTGTGTGTGTATGTGTGTGTGCTTGTACAGCTATCTTTGTCCTCACAAAGATAGCTGTACAAGTGTTAGACCTTCAGAGTGAGGACATTTTTAGAAAGTGAAGACATTTTGGTCAGTCTTCATTGAGGTACAGAGCCTGTTTGAGGGTTCAGACTTGGTTTTCAGGTTTAGGTCAGAATGAGGTTTAGGTTAGGGTTAGGGTAGTGTCCTCACACAGATAGAAGTACAAGGTTGAATTTGTGTGCGTGTGTGTGTGTGTGTGTCCACATTGTTGCTCTGTGCTTGTGTTAGAGGGTCAACCCATCCCATATTCCCCTCTAATGACGTTGTACACATTGTTTTGTCTCTTATGGCTTCTAAAAATGTCTGCCTAAACAAAAACATTGACTGCACATCCTGCTGCCTGGCTGGACAAAAATAATTGAACTCCAACGTGTATTGTCTCTCACTCATTTTCAACAAAAGGCTGTATGACAGCTACTATGGAGACACTGAAATTCAGTGTCATTTACAGTAATTTAAGAATAAAAGAAGACAAGTTGATAGATTTCCTGATTGATGAATTGGGTCATGTGTACGTAACAGAGATAATATTATGACACAATTAGTGGGTGTGTATGGAGGAATGATGAAGTTTTGTACAGCATCCCTTAACAAAACTGGTGTGGTAAAGATGCTATGTCCCAATTTTAACTTTCAGTGTGGATGAGAAAAGTCTACTCCTGTGCTAAAATGCACTATGCTATTCAGCAGTCTGAGTTAGTTAATTTAAGTGGGCAGTACCACTGAGCAGGGTTGTCCTTTAATCAGAGGATCGGCGGTTTGATCCCCGGCTCCGCTAGTCCATGACGATGTGTCCTTGGGCAAGACACTTAACCCCAAAGGATCCCCCAAAGGATGTAGGATTATACTGTACATGTTAAGAGACTTGACCTTCACCAGTTACTCACCTCCACATACACACAAATGTTGCTGGAACCTTTAGTTAGACTTATTACATTACATTACACTTATTAGCATATTATTTAGGTTCTGATCATTTGTATTTTAGAAACAGAATTAACAAGTTAACATTCCTGAAATCAAAAGGCCACAACTAGAGTGACAAAACAAAGACTAAGAGCATTGGGGATAAAACTTGAACTTCAAGATAAAAAAGTGTTATGAGACCACAAAGTTGGATTTAACAGAGCAAACAGAAAATCATAAACAATCCCAGTGCCATTAGATGTTTGTACACCTAATTTATACTTTAACCAGGTCCGACAATGACCTCAGGTTGCATATTTTACTTCAATGGTAAACCCATAGTAATGCTGCTATTTGTTATAAATGCTCTCCACCATCAAACACAGACAAACCTGGTCCACAGAAAAAGTTATACAGTACAGTTTGGCCACTGATTGCTGAGCAGTGCAGTGTAGAAACACATCAAAATTTGAAACAAAATATAAAAAGTCCACAGTATCACCTACCTTGGAGCAAAGATTGTTATGAAATATATAACAAATATATATAATGACATTACCTCCTAAATACACCTGTTGTGAGAATATGTGTGAGTTTTGCAGTTTAAAGCCAATATAACGAGCCATCGGGATGCCTTACCTTACTTACTGTGACCCAGACAAACATTACTGCCAGATGACCTCTGCCGCGCAAATCATAATCCTGTATTATCAGTCCTTATCAGGATAGCCAATGATAGTCAAAATTTACTTCAAGTGCTGCAGGTGAACTCTCTGTCTCCAATAACTTCCACAAACACTCTCCCTCACTTTTTCACTCACACACGGTCTATAAATAGATTCTGAGTTTACTGGAAACAAAGGTTGGTGTGCAGGACAGCTCTGCAAATATCACTGAGTAGCCTTGTGACAGATACAGACAGAGGGGAGGAGCAGATACACCACCAGAGAGACATAATCTAATCCAGATGGAAAATAAACATGTTCTGCTATTGATTCAACTGTTGTCCAGTCTCATGTAAGAATATATAGGGTCCAATATGCTAACACATATTGTAGGCCAAGTAGTGTGACCAGTCTGGTGCCCTTGACATTTTAGTTGGTGTGCATCACAGCCAATTTTAAGCTGCTTCCGCCTTTCCTTCTAAGACAAGTCATAATTTGCACAGCCACGGGACCTCCTTATGAAATAGATAACAATATAGTATTCATTCTTGACCTTGGAGACAGTGTGTGTGTGTGTGGGGCGTAGCACACTAAATTATAAGCTGCTTCCGCCTTTCCTTCTAAGACAAGTCATAATTTGCACAGCCACGGGACCTCCTTATGAAATAGATAACAATATAGTATTCATTCTTGACCTTGGAGACAGTGTGTGTGTGTGTGGGGCGTAGCACACTAAATTATAAGCTGCTTCCGCCTTTCCTTCTAAGACAAGTCATAATTTGCACAG